GGTTCCTCTTGGTGCAGTGGGCCCTGGGTTCCTCTTGGTGCAGTGGGCCCTGGGTTCCTCCTGGTGCAGTGAGCCCTGGGTTCCTCCTGGTGCAGTGGGCCCTGGGTTTCTCCTGGTGCAGTGGACCCTGGGTTCTTCTTGGTGCAGTGGGCCCTGGGTTCCTCCTGGTGCAGTGGGCCCTAGGTTCCTCCTGGTGCAGTGAGCCCTGGGTTCCTCTTGGTGCAGTGGGCCCTGGGTTCCTCCTGGTGCAGTGGGCCCTGGGTTCCTCCTGGTGCAGTGGGCCCTGAGTTCCTCCAGAGTGTTTCAGCAGTTCCTGGATGATGAAGGCATTGATGCCATTGACTGGCCCTGTTGTTCCCTTGACCTTAATCCAACTGAGCACCTATGGGACATAATGTAGGGATGAATCCATGCATAGACCTCACTGATGCCCTGATCCAGGTCTGGGAGGAGATCCCCCAGGACACCGTTCATCGGGAGCATGTCAGGAGTGCATACAGGGACACAGGGGCAGCACACACTACTGAGTTGCTGTGATAAAATTCACACATTTGGATCAGCCTGTGATTACAATTATATACTTTGATTTTCGGTGTGATTTTGAATCCAGCCCTCAGTGAGTTGATGATTTTGGTTTCCACTGATCGTTGTTACATCATTTTCTTCTCAACCAATTATAGAGTGTACATCAGTAAAGACTTGCAACTTGAATAATATGTTCATCAAGATATGATGTGTGATTTAAGGGCCCCCTATACCACTACATTTGCGCTAGTTTAAAAAAACGGATATATCATGAACATGAATATCTGTATACCCCCGTTTTTTTAAAAAAAAATGGTAATCCATCCAATAGTTTTTGAAATATTTCAGTCTGGACCATAAATCGATGAATTTCTGAATATCACTAAAACAAGGAGATTTTTTTGTGAGGTTTTTGCCTTTTGCTACAGAGGTATGTATTAGATTTAGGTATTAATCCAGTTCTGCAATTCCTACGATTAGAAGACAACAAAATTATATCTCTGTCCATACATGTTCATTCATGTATTTATCTTTTCCTTTTTTATCAAAAAAATCTGTCACTCTGCTAGTATAACTAAAGAACATTATAATATACAACTGTATGTGCTGCACACACACACACACACACACACACACGCACGCAGTCTAATCTGTCACTCTGTCATAATTTGATCATAATCCCTAATCATAATCACATCGTATCTTAAAGGTGTTCTCAATCTGGAGTGGGATTATGGGATTGCAGAGCATGTGTGTTAGAGTGTGAATGAATGATCCAAATATACTATAGTGGTGGGGTGTGTGTGTGCGTGTGTGTGTGTGCGTGTGTGTGTGTGTTTAGGGGAGTAAAAGGGGTGAATTTAATTTGATGATGGTGGGGTACAGGGTGCACCCTCTCACTGATTTACCCGCTGTATCCACTTTAAGCCTGATATAATAAAACAATAGACACTGACCTGTTAAAATGTGTTTGCGCTCCCCTCCTCGGCTCATCTTTAATCTCGTTCACTTTAATTTGTTTGTGTACGAGTGCGTGAAATGAAACAAAACAAGATGAGTCAAAGAAACGCAGACCTACTGTTTGTCGAGCCGTCACATTTCTTTTTATCTTTTTGGTCTACTGGTCAGTTGAGCTCTTTTTCCAGACTGAAATATCCCAACAGATAGATTGCCATGAAATTTAGAGATATGTCCTTGTGCAAGATGAGAAATATGTTTTTGTTTATAATAATGCATCGTGAATGTGAGTGTGAATGGTTGTCTGTCTCTATGTGTCAGCCCTGTGATAGTCTGGTGACCTGTCCAGGGTGTCAGTGGGGATAGACTCCAGCAGCCCCGCACCTCTTACAGGATGAGCAGTTACGGAAAATGAATGAATATTCCATTGCATTAAATATCGGCATCTTAAACCTGGGGTAGGCAGTTTTATTTTGGCATCATTGGGCAAAAATCCCATAATAAATTTAAAGCATATTGTAATTCAAGTGAATTGAGAGAACACTAGACTGCACCTCCTCTTGGCACTGGCCAATCACAGGTAATTTCAGAGAGGGCGTTCCTATTGGCTGTACGAATGCACCTGTTCGAGCATGTCCCTTTGATGAAAGCCTGATTTAACAGTGGAGAATCCTGCAGAGAACGTTGTTATTCAAACAATGGCAACAACTGTCTACTCCGCAAAGCGACCCAAAGAAACAAGACAGACTTATCAAAAGAGAGTCGGACAGTGAACACAATAAAACACGTGTCAGTATTAGCAAAGTGTTTTGGCGATGGAGAGAAAATGTTGCTAATAGTTTAGCCTTCTGCTAACCAGAGCCAAGAGCCCTGTCTCACTCCAAAGTCGTCAAAATCCGGCACTTGGGCAGTGACTTGCAGCGTCAGAAACCAACGAAAAATGCATCCTTTAACATCGGCATGATACCCGGCAAGTTGGGACAAAAGTTAAGGCGGCGAAAGTCTAACTGGGGTGGATGGAAAGGATGGGGATGAGTCCAACAAACACTGACTTTCACCTGAGTGGGTGGTGTTCACATCCTGTAAGATTCTAAAGCCAAACCCTGTTCATGTGTTTGTTGTTGAAGGAAAAAGGACGTCAATTTGTGTTACACTGACGTAGCGCATTTATTTTGAAAGAGACTGTATGTAAACGTTAAATTTCCTGTGAAAACAGAAGTGTATTTTGAAAGAAGACAATGCATGTAACAGGCAGAACTTCACACGGTGTCCCAGAACGTCAACAACCAACACACCCAGGGTACCTTGCACGTCGTATGTGGACGTGG